TAAGCCCGCTGTCTCCCTAAAAACTCCTGGTTGTCCTGCTGTCTCCTTAGACACATCTGCGTAGCCTTGTGTCTACCAAGATACCCCGTATTAGCCCGTGGTTTCCATAGACACATCTGGTTAGTCTGTTGTCTCCCTAGACACCTCTTGTTGGTATGTTGTCTCCCAAGACACTTCTGGTTATCCATTTGTCTCCCGACACACTATGACTAGCCTGTTACTCCCTCGGTATTTCTAGTTATCCCGCTAGTTCCCTAGACATCTATGGTTAGTTTGTTGTCTCCCTAGACACCTCTTGTTGGTATGTTGTCTCCCAAGACACTTCTGGTTATCCAGTTGTCTCCCGACACACTATGACTAGCCTGTTACTCCCTCGGTATTTCTGGTTATCCCGCTGTTTCCCCAGACATCTATGGTTAGTCTGTTGTCTCCCTAGACACCTCTTGTTGGTATGTTGTCTCCCAAGACACTTCTGGTTATCCAGTTGTCTCCCGACACACGATGACTAGCCTATTGACTCCTTCGGTATTTCTGGTTAGCCTGCTGTCTCCATAGACACCTCTTGTTGGCATGTTGTCTCCCTAGACACATATGGTTAGCCTGTTGTTTCCCTAATTCTGGTAAGCCTGTTGTCTCCCTAGACACCTCTGGTCAGCTTGTTGTGTCCTTAGACACTTCTGGTTAGCCTGTTGTATCCCTCGACACTTATGGTTAGCCTGTTGACTTTGACTCCCTTAGTACATTTGGTTAGCCTTGTGTTCCCCAATACATCTCTGGTTAGCGCCATAACGACTATATACTCACATTTGGTTAGCCGGTTGTCTCCCTAGACACTTCTGGTTAGCCCACTGTCTCCCTTAGCCTGCTGTCTCCTTAGACACCTCTGTTTAGCCTTGTGTCTCCCTAGACACCACGTGTTAGCCTGTGGTTTTTCTAGACACTTCTGATTAGCCTGCTGTCTCCTTAGACACCTCTGTTTAGCCTTGTGTCTCCCTAGACACCACGTGTTAGCCAGTGGTTTCCCTAGACACTTCTGGTTAGCCCATTGTCTTCATGACATTTCTGGTTAGCATGTTGTCTCCCTAGACATCTTTGATTAGCCGGTTGTCTCCCTCGACACTCTGGTTAGCCAGTTGTCTCCTGACACACTATGACTAGCCTGTTGACTCCCTCGGTACCCTTGGTTAGCCTTGTGTTTCCCAAGACAGCTCTGGTTGGTGGCTTATTGACTGCCTGCGTATATATACATTTGGTTAGACGCTGTCTCTCAGGACATCGCTGGTTAACCTGTTGACCTCCTAAATAAATCTTTATTTAGCAATAGGCATAAATGCCTTTTTGCATCATAACCAACATACCTAATCAAATGATGACAAGGACAGTGTGACGTAGCCAAATTATCATTTACATATGTACAGCGTCAGGTACAGGGACGCATGTAATTCAGGTTTAGGTCACAATAACATTGATGTTTTGATCCACAGGCACTGCATTATACTGTTTTATCATAAACATGAGTTCCCCGTAACAATAGACATATAACGTTCTGTCAAATGCCAAAATTTTCGAATGCAGAGGGGCCTTAACTCTACTCAAAATGGAATCATGACTGACGCAGACTACAACAACCCACCAAGAGAGCGCCAAGCATCTGCCGCGCCTCGTCAGGCAACACACCAATATACAAAGATATAATAATAATATAACTATCCGACAAATTCCGGTTTTCATTTGTTTCAGATCTTATAATTTCCCAACATAATTTGCCAGTGCCTGAGTATCCAGAAACATCAACTTTAATCCTAACCTATTCACCTCAGCCATTAAACAGCAAGGTAGTTCTTCTTTCATATAGCTTTAAAAACAAAATTTGCAAAATTTTAATAACAGTCACACATTCTGATGACTTCCTTAGATGCATATGATCAGAACTTTGTCATAATGATTTCATTTGTTTCAGATCTTATAATTTCCCAACATAATTTGCCAGTGCCTGAGCACTGAGAATTTTAATCCCATTACCTAAAAGTATTAGTAACATAACTTAAGTCTAGTCCAGTGAGGAAATGTCATTCAACATATATGCTGGCACGTACAGGTTATTATATTATGGACACTGTCGTCGTACAATAGAAACAAGTTCTGGGATGTGGTGGTGTCTAGTCCAGTGAGGAAATGTCATTCAATTTTAAAACAGTCTGTTCCATGTAAAGAATACATTGAACGTCTGCGTTAATTCTTACACTTAATTTCACGTAATCCAACACGAGCACGGTAGACAGTAAAAAATATACGAGTTACCTCCCTTAACGTAACACGTAAAGGTACACGCCAAGACGGTATGTTTTCAAAAAAAGAACTCAGTGTAGGGGAAGTTTCCGTATACAGGAAAAAACACAGTACAAGTTGTCAGGGAATTTTAATCCCATAACCTAAAAGTATTAGTAACATAACTTATTTACTATGTTTAATCGAAACAGATTAAAGTTATAGCATTGACATAGAGTGGCCTTATCGTTACATCCTACGACCCCATTGCTCTTTATAGTGTCACCTATAAACACCACTAGAATTAAAATCAATTTCTTTTAAAGATCAATGATATAACATTTATTTACGTGTTTTCAAAGTACGTTTTTAAATTAATGACAAACTTTGTTATATCCAATTCCCTGTGTCACTTAAGTAAGGATCCCCGTACCACTGCCAAAAACTGTACATGTAATGACTATAGGTTTGATAAATCATTTCTGGAAAAAAAACTTACCTTGCGGGACTATCATAAGAAAAAACCCAAGATGAAATAATCAAAATATATTCAACAGCAGTGTTCTGAGTGTAACACTTAAGAGAGTGCTAGACCAGGATTCGAACCCTAGACTTGTGTGCTACAGTTATATCGAAACGGAACCTGAGTGTAGGGGTGGTTTCCGTATACAGAAAAAAACCCACACAGGACAGTGGGATAGGGATTCTTAATACGATAGCAAGATAGATAATGCTTATCTATTTACGATTTCTAAACAAAAATATCCAATAACTGATTTCACTTGAATTGATCGAGACTACCTTATCATCCCTTCTTTCCATAGTCCGAAAGAACTGACTACATATATCTTTTTCAATTTTTCTTCGTGAAACGGAGATAGATGAGGCTGAAATATCAATTAAGTTAATTATACATTAAGTTGATAGTCATTTATTTCGGACTAACCCTTCTGTAACAGCAACGATATAACATATACCATAATGTTTATTGGCATAGAACAACAGGTAATGAATATTCATTCTGCTAGACCGTAATAATGCATGGATTATTTATCTGTTTAAATCTTATTTTTGTTTTGATGTACTGTCAAAAGGCCCTATACATGTACATATTCAACACGTCTGTGGAGCAATCAGTTCGTACAACAGAGGTTTCCGACACAGTTTCTTTGGGTATATATTTTCTCAATGCTAGTCTTACGTCGACACGTGAACGGCGGGTTATTGCAGAACAGGTTTCAGGACGCTAGGTGGAATGGTTTAAGGCAGCTGGCTAAGGTGTATCAACACCTGTCAAACGTCTTACAGCAGCCGTCACATGTCTTACAGCAGCCGTCACATGTCTTACAGCAGCCGTCACATGTCTTACAACAGCCGTCACAGCGGGTCTTACAGCAGTCGTCACATGTCTTACAGCAGCTGAAGCAAATCTAACACCGGTTGATTCAAGTCATAGCAGACGACACAAGTCTTAAAGAATATGATGCAAATCTTACACCAGTTTGCATCAGCTACCGTATCTTACAGCAGCTGACACATACCTTACAGCATATCTATTCCAATCGGAAATCTAACAAGTCGAAATCCGAAAATGATATATATAAAATTAAAACAAAAATAGACCTCCCATAAAGTATTTTCAAAACGGCAACACTCAGGACTGCACGTCCCGGCATGCAGCGCTAATCTGTGGCGGATCAGGACGATCGACGAAATAATCGATATATTGATCAGCGCCATTTAAACAATGATTCAATGCAATCACTGCCATTAGCGTATTATCTTGACATTTAAATCCAATGCTAATGTCAGCAGACGTAATCGGACACTTTACACCTATTGGCTAAAGTCATTTCAACTTCAACGCGATCATTGTCTCTGATGCATGACATGCTTAACTTCAAAACGAGGTAAAAATGACGTGTTATTACGATCACGATGGGCGATACTTATTAACTATTGCTGGGGTGTATACGGATATGAAACAACCCAAACCAGTGCATTATTAACCAATGCTACATGCGATGTCGTGCTTTCTTCACAGTCGTTGAGAATTCCTCATGACTAGATACATACATGATAACTTTTACCCTATCAAAGATACTAAAGGCATTGATTTAACGATACCAGGTATCAATTTATTACTTATTTTTTTACGGCCAGATCAACGCACGCTACCTATTGAACACACTTACAAATGTATATCTAATTGAGATAATGAAAACATCAAAACAAATTTAACAAATATAATCAGATGAACACCCAGGAATCGGTAAAAAACCAAAAGCTGCATCTCAAAAATGTCACCTAATTAAAATATGCAAAATTCTAAAAATAGCACATCCTACATTTCTTTTCTGGAGCACTCATACAGATTTGAGATATTAAACACACCCATAATCGTTTACCTTGTTGTAGTTGTCTATGACTTTCCCTGAACTTTATTTTAGAAGTAAGCTAACACAACACTTAGGTCGACAGACCCATTATTGTGGCACCCACACACCGAACAAGAAATGTGACCTCTAAAATCGGATCTGCTGCCATCAAGTTGGAACTCTATTGCATACAAGTCCTTTTAAATGGCTCTAAAAATAACCATTGTTAAAAAGTCTGTTTGTTTATTCACCGAACTGTGTAGACACTTACCCCAAGTAAGAAAAGAGGTTTAAAATCTGACAAAAAACCGGCCAATATACCTATGTTCGTACAGGTATCGCGCAGGTGCGACACAGGTAGACGATTTACCTGCACTTCAACGTTATGATAAAGTGTATTACTTGAAGAGAAATCATATAAAAAATATCACAGAAGATATCAAAATGTCGATTCCAAAGCTAGGAGCTGTCACTTTGTAAGTATATTTAACGAATATGTTATAAATGAAATATATCTGTATTTTATTGTACGGAAGTATCTGAATGTACAAACAGGTATGTGTATGTATAATCAACAGGTAGACGTGTTTACGACAAGTTGTTAAACCACACAATGGAGAATCATACTGGTGTATACAGTATTTATCTCAACCTTTCAGTTTGTGCTCACATATCGGAAATAAATATAAAGTATATATAAACGGGAACGTCCTTTTTCATGAAATAGATATTACATTAATGAGGATTCGAATTCTGTAGTATATCTTATACTGCGCACTGACTCGCACTTACTTGACAGTTTAGGTAATTATGTAACCCCATGCATGCTTCATACTTACACCAGTAGTAGATACAGGATTTCCCAAAGTATATGGGAGCGGGAGGTTGAGGGTTTGGGAGACGGAGGGGGAGAGGTCTCGAGGGTTTGGGAGGCGGAGGGGGAGAGGTCGAGGGTTTGGTTGGGAAACGGAGGGGGAGCGGAAGGGGGAGAGGTCGAGGGTTTGGTTAGGAAACGGAGGGAGAGGGGAGAGGGAGAGGGAGAGGTCGAGGGTTTGGTTGGGAAACGGAGGAGGAGGGGAGGGGGAAAGGTCGAGGGTTTGGTTGGGAAACGGAGGGGGAGGGGAGGGGGAAAGGTCGAGGGTTTGGTTG